ACCTTCTTTCTCTTCTTCCAGATACTAACATGGGCTTGTTCCTGGCCTATCAGAAGCAAACCGCCTTGTACCATGATGAGTTACTGGAGAAACTGAGGAAGATGAACGAGACTTTTGGGCTGGTCCTTCAAACCATGGAGCAGATGGAGACCAAGGTGGAAGGGCGATTACAGCACATCCAGAGATTCATAACCTGGGCAGGTAAGGTTACCTGTGAGCAACAGGCCTGCAATCCGTTGAAAAAAGGCACAGAAACCACAGGATGTGTCATAGAAGACAACATGGCCGCTACCACGGCACAACTGAAGCTCCGCCTGGGTTTATGTGTGTGGTGACAACCTCACTGAAAGGAGAGTTATTCTTATTGTTACTTATTAATTAATAAGTCCTTATTAATATGTAATCTACAAGAGATAAGGAATACTTGCCAGTTATTATTTATTATTGTTTATTATGAAATATCCAATCTGTTATCGAATGTAATAGAAAGAAATATGTATATTTTTCTATTTACACATTTTTTATTTCTGTATAATTGTATGTTTGTGTTTTTTCTAATTTTTTGTAAATAAAATATATTTTTTAAAAAATTTTTTAAAAAGGAAAGTTATCTCTCTGATATACCTACATCATTTTTTTCCCCCTCCACCTTGGCAACTTGGAGGTGTTTGGATTTTAACTCCCAAAATTTCCTCAGCTAGCATTCCTACGCTGCCGTGGAGGGGAATCACTGATGTACAATTTTGGTTGGTTTCCTGAAAACCCGCCTTAGATTCAAAAACAAAAGAGTTGAATTAATAAGGGAAGTTAGACACACACACACACACACACACACACACACACACACACACAATGCTTTATAATCCAACATTGTTCAAATATTTTCAAAGGAACAAGAAGGAATACATCATCACCAAACCATCTTTCCAGATTCTAAGGTTCCATGAAAAAGAAAGCCCATGTACAATGTGGACAAACACACAAGCCGTTTGTAGCTAGCTACACTGCACACAGATACCCTAGCGTAGTGCAAACTACCCTAGCTATATTACACAGCACTAGCACAGATAACGTTGCCAAATTTGCTAATGTTTACAAGAAAACAATCTAGCTCAGAGATCACCAAGAACCCACAGTTGTTGTAGTTGTCCCCTTCTTTACAAACCCTACCCCCTTTCAGCACTGATTGTGTTACCTAGTTGGGTATTGAAACGTCTGCAGGAAAACAGCCAAACTCAAAGAGAACCAGGGACTCCTGCTCCTCCCCCTTTCCTCCTTGTCCTCCTCCTCTTCCTCCTCCTCCTTTTGCAAATCCTACCCCCTTCAAACACTGATGATGTTACCTAGTTCGGTAATAAAATGTCTGCAGAAAAACAACCAAACTCAATGAGAATCAGGGACTCCACAATCCTCCTCCTCCCCATTTCCTCCTTGTCCTCCTCCTCTTCCTCCTCCATTTGCAAATCCTACCCCCTTTGAACACTGATGATGTTACCTAGTTTGGTAATGAAACATCTGTAGGAAAACAACCAAGCTCAGAAACACCAGGGACTCCACAGTTCTCCTCCTCCTCCTCCTCTTCCTCCTCCTCCTCTTCTTTGCAAACCCTAATCCCTTCGAGCACTGATGATGTTACCTAGTAGGGTCATGAAACGTCTGCAAGCAAAACCACGAGAGCGAAGAGGCTTTGCAGGTGGGAAAATATTATTTAGGACCTTCTCAATCCCACTGGCTTAGTTTCCTGACCTCCCAAAGTTTATGTGTGGCTCTGAGATACTACGCCAAAACCCCACACGGCAACCCCTGATGAAAAAAATTGTGTCTCTCCTGTGTTTTGCAGGGTTCAGCTTGAGCGCTGTCTCTACCTGTCTCCTGCACCTGGTCTACTTCCTCCTGGCTGCCCTCCTCATGACTTTCCTGCAAGTCCCTGGGGCCTCCCGTGCCTTTCTGCTGGTCGTGGTGGTGGCGAACGCCCTCTCGGAGCTCCACCACACCGTCTCCTTGGGGTTCAAGTCCCTCACCAGCCTCTTGGCGTTGTCCGTGGCAGGCAAGTTGGCAGGGTTTCGAGACAGGGTTTGTTTGGTTTCAGCCTAGCCCGGCAGTGGCTAACCTTTTTGGGATCCTGTTAATCTTTGCCGGGCTCTTGGGCTTGAGCCAAGAATTTGGCAGTGGGGCATACCTGGTTACGTCTTCCGGAGACCTCAGGTGAGTGAGTGGGAAATTGATCTGATGTTTTCAGAGCAGTTAAAGCCCCCGTGGTTGAGTGTAGGATTACAGACTCAACATTTTAAGAAGGCTAATCAATCGGTGTTAGATTTCTTTAGCTATCGACATAGACACGTTTGATTTTTTTAATGAGATTTTTTTTTAAAAAAAATCTGGCCTTGATTGTTTTTATAAATAACTCAAGGCTGCAAACATGTTTAATACTCCTCCCTATTTTCCCCACAATGACGACAATGACTTTGTTAAGGAGGGCTGGGCTTTGAGAGGGGGAGAGAGGGAGACTGGTTCAAAGTCACCCAGTTGGACTTCATGGCTAAGGCCGAATTAGAACTCACGGTCACCTGGTGAACGGCCTGAGGTCACCCAGCCAATTTTCAGGTTTAAAGTTGGTCTAGAATTCACCGTCTCCTGGTGATTGGCCCAAAGTCACCCAGTTGATTTTGTGCCTAAGGCAGGACTAGAACTCACCGTCTCCT